TGGGAGACGAAGTGAGCACTCTGAAAACAGGCATGAACTGGCACCTGGAGTTGGGAAATAGCAACAATTTGAAATCCACATCAGGAAAATAAAAAGCATCCCTTAAATGTGTCAGGATCAAGTAAAATAAATGGTGAAATGTTGCCCATTTATTAGAAAAGGAGAGATAATTATTTGTATGTTACACCAAAATGTGAAATGTATTGTATTCTTTGCATTATTTGGATAATAAGAAAAACAGAAGTAAAATGAACTCAAACTGTACCTGAAAAAAAGCACAAATGAGATTAAAATTTAACAAAAAAGGTAAACAGAGGTAAACTGTTGAACAAGTATTTAAATGAAGCATATGATAAATAGTTAATTAGTGAAACTAAATAGAGGAGTTCAGAAGTGGATTCAATACATACAGGAATTTAATGCAGGATTAGGTTTGTCTTTCAAAAGGGTGGAAATGTGGATTGTTCAATAAATGGTGTTGAAATAACTGGATAGTCATCTGGGCTAAAAAAGTAAGTTGAGTTACTATTTCATTCTTTAAAAAAAGAAATTATATATGAATCTAAGAATTAAATGTGGAAAGTGAAACTATAGAAATACTATAAGATAACACGAGAAAATATTGATTATTGCAGAGAAGGAAATTTTAATCAATATAAAAAACCCAGAAGACATAAAATACTATATAGATAAATTTGACAACATAAAATTTTTTTAAATTCTGTATACTTAAAAAAAAAACTCAAAAAAGTCAACAAACAAAAAGTACAATGGGCCAATTTCCCTAACATAGAAAGAATTCTTTAAAATAAAAGTTTAAAAGACCTAGTAGAAAATGTCCATCGTTAGATGACTGGATAAGAAAAATGTGGTATATATACACAATGGAATACTACTCTGCCATAAAAAAGAATGAAATATTTCCATTCATGGCAACTTGGGTGAACTTAAAGAAAATCATGTTAAGTGAAATAAGCCAGGCACAGAAAGAGAAATACTACGTCCTCACTCATAAGTGGGAGCTAAAATATAAACATATAAATTAAAAAAAAAAAAAGAAAGAAAAATACAACAATCACAATAGTACATTGAGCTTTCAAAAGGAGAACTGAAGTTACCAGAGGTGGGAAGGGGGGGTGAAGGGA